GATGTTAACATTTTAAAACAATTAAAGTTGAAATATAAAAGTATAGTAACTTTTGAATAAAATGAATAATGTAATTTTGAGTTGTTCATTGAAAATATAAACAAATAAAACTGACTGTTTTTTTAAATGCACTTCTATAGTTTTTTTCTGTAAAAAACGTTAAAAAGTGCTCTAATGATGGCATTTTTTAGAAAAAATGTAAAAATATTTAAACATTACAGTGAGTAATTAATCATTCGTTTTCGTTGTTAGATTAAATTTATTTTTACATATTTGAACACAAACGTACATTTAAAAATGCGGAAATAAAGGTTGCAAACAAAAATTATTTTTACTACTAGTAGTTAAAATTTTATTTGAGTTTGTAAACACAATAATTATAACATGTAGCGTGTTTTTAAAGTTGACAAAATTAATGTAAAAGCATTTGGGTTCTTTCAATGTCTAAAACAAAAAACATGCTTTAAAGTCTGTATTTTAATAATTGATTTGTTTGTTGACACAAGATACTCATCCAATTTGAGCTAACAATTTCGAGTTTTGGGCGCCAAACAAAAAACTNAAGCATTTGGGTTCTTTCAATGTCTAAAACAAAAAACATGTTTTAAAGTCTGTATTTTAATAATTGATTTGTTTGTTGACACAAGATACTCATCCAATTTGAGCTAACAATTTCGAGTTTTGGGCGCCAAACAAAAAACTCTGAAAATTAATTTTTAAAATAAAAACTACAGAAAATTTATTGGCAGCACAACTTCAGTGTTTTCAGACACAAATGCTTTTAGAGAAAATGCCGCTTTATCAATATGGCGATATCATTTTCTTATATCATCTTGGTTGGCAATCACAAATGCGAGATAAGTGTCTCGTTTTGACATAACAGTCGCTTATAAGGCTTGACAACCCAAACTTGCCTGGCTTTGACATCTGCACTTGCTCGAGTTTAGCACAGCTTTCTTTTACTTTTTTTGCACGTGTACCTACAGCACACAGCTTCGCAATGGTCACCTCCAAACTGCCCCTCCGATCGACCTCTAACCGCTTTGTCAGTTTCATGGGAATCCTCTATCAGCTGGTGGTGGGCATTCTCTTTGCGCTCACCCCCGAGTCCTGGCGGTACAAGGATATCAGAGGACAGACAGTACTGATAACCGGCTCAGGTTCGGGCATTGGCCAGCTGATGGCGGTCAAGTTTGCACAGCTCGGCTGTAGGGTGGTCCTCTGGGACGTGAATGAAGCTGGCATGAGGGAGACGGTGAAGATGATCAAGGAGAAGAAGCTCGACGTGAACATGGTGCACTCGTACAGGGTGAACCTCGCCAGTCGAGAGGAGATCTACTCCACCGCCCAAAAGGTGCAGTCAGAGGTGGGCGTGGTGGACGTGCTGGTGAACAATGCCGGTGTCGTCAGTGGCGCCTACTTTCTCGACACGCTCGACGAGAAAAATCAGCTGACCTTTGACGTGAACGTGCTCGCCCACTTTGCCACCATCAAGTGCTTCCTTCCTGAGATGATCAAGCAGAAGCGAGGGCACATTGTGACCACTGCTTCCGTGGCCGGCCACATTGGCGCCATTCGAATGGTCGACTACTGTGCCTCCAAGTTCGCCAACGTTGGCATGGTGATGGCACTGCGAAATGAGCTCGCCCAGGCCAATCTCGACGCGTACATTAAGACGACCACTGTCAAGCCGTACCTGATCACCACGGGTGAGTAATTAAGGAACAGTGGAGCACTGGTACTGGCTGGAAGTGGAGT